CCGGAGGCCCGACTACGTAGACGCCTAACGATCGAGTGATCGCGTCTTTTGCTTCAGTAGCGGGGATCCGCCGAGCGCAAGACGTATTCCACACGAGGGTCTAAGACCGAACGTGGATACGAGCGCAGGAGAGCCGCCCTGTGAGCAGCCTCCAACTGCTGCCCCTGTGCCTCTTCGAGGCGACTGATACTACTTCCACTTCGCCCGGAAGCCGAGAGGTCGGTGAACGGATACGGCGTCCGCAGGGTTTGAGCTAGCTCACGTCGCGCTGTTCGCGCACTTCATCTTACTCGTTATCCTTTGCTGGGATAGGAGTATCCGAATCGTAGTCGACTTCCTCCAACTCCTCGATGAGGAAATCCGTCCCCTGTGGTGGGCGCGTTGTGTTGCATCCAGTTGCCGAGGGCTTATGATGTGCTTCCCGTGAAGCCGCGGACGTACTGTACGGAGATGCACCCTGTGCAGAAGAAGAAGGGCTTCGCATCACGGGCGCCCTCGCTACTAGCTACGGTGGATGTTTTGTGTGTCGTAAACACAGTGCTCATAGAGCAGAGAATGTTTAAAGTTGTTCTTATGTAAACGCACGGACCACCGACAACTAAATCCATATATGTATATATATTGTTAGCTTATATATTGATACATCACATTACTTCTTAAATTGAGCTTACTGACTTGCGCAAGCTTCATCAATTTGTTATTCGTTTGATAGCACTAGGTACAAGTCTAAATGGAATAATAATTGGAGCCCACTTTGTTATAAACTTAAGCTGGATCATGTCCAAGACCTTAAACTCGTAAACATGTAAGAAGTCGACACCGAGAAGTCGATCGCTGGCATTTTGACAACTTGATCTTGATGAAATGTGTTACCAATTATCTCCTAATTCGTTACCCTTATTTCATAAATGTTACCAAATTGTTGTTTCAACAATTATTCAGCTGCCCTGTCCGTAGAATATATTGACGATTCTCTCATTGTTGGTTACTAAAGATGATTTACAACTTCAAATCTATCCATAGGCACCTGCTCAAATAGCTCGCGTTGCATATTCTTCAGCCGAATTCCGTTGCAAAAATCGAGCGCAGTGCCGACCTTTCGACCTGCTTGTTGCAAACTTAAAACTTTTAACCAAGAAAAATTTTCGCATCGCAACCAAATCACTTGACGATTTTTTTCAAAGAAAAAGGTTCCAATTGCTGCTACTCCGTTGCGGGCCTCATCAGCCTTTACTAAACGACAAATTAACAAAAGATGTTAGACTTTAGCGATTAAAATCAGGTGCTGATACAAGACGCACCAAAGTCTAGCTCTTGATCCATCGGAAGCTGGATCTCAACCAGCTTAACTACGTTCCCTCTGAAATAAACGTTTACTCCGACTGAATTGCTCAAAGCCTGCCACCGCTTTTATAGATCGCCAAAAAGCAGTCATAAGATCATTAAATGAGCGCGGAACAGTTAATATTGTCTCACAGTTTGCAACTCGTACGTGGAAAATATCTCTAGCTGTTTCCTTGAACGAGATAAGACCATCTTTGAATTTCAATTTGGGGGCCTTACTAGCCCTGGCGTCGTCCTGCACGACAGCTTTTTCCTTCATTGTCTGTAATGAAGCCAGCGTTTTCAACACGCATTCCGAACCAAACGCTGCAAGTTCATCTGCTAGGCTTTGAGCATAAAAACACGAAGCATTACTCATCAGCTATGTTGGAGATAGCATAGACAATCAGGTCAAAAATACTCTCATACTCTCGGTACTGGATGCCGGGCTTGATTTCGTAGGGCTTTTGCAGTAAAATTCTTCCAGCATCGAAAGCTTCCGAAACGATCTCAATTATTGACACGCCGGTTATCAAATCACCGTTAAGCAATGCGTGATGGATCGGGGCAGGACCACGGTACTATAACCATGAGCTAGCATCATCAGACCAAAATGCTATATATTTCAAATAATACCTTTGGCAACAACGATGGATGCATATTAATTGCACCGTGATAAAGATTTTTCAGCATGTGCGGATGCTATAAAGTTAATCAATAAACCACATCAGTCAACATTCTAAATATGTCTAAAAACTGAAACTGCGTACCAAAAAGTACCCAAATGACACCACAACACCCACATCAAATTTTTCAGAAACGGGAAAATCCCACGTTTTAAGTGACTTAAGATTTGAAGGCGTGTCGAAGGTCTTAATGCAACGGCGCTGTGCAAATTTTTTGACCGGTACCGGCTCAGCCTTCTTGCTTCCGTTCATTGGACGGTTCGAAGGGCACACCACTTCAATATGCTCAATCAATCCATCGCTACCAATAACATGCTTACTAACGCAGGAACACATAGACCAGCAGATTAAAACAGGCGTATCAAATCTACACCCCTTTACATGCGCGCACCAGTTGGCATACAGCATTTTAAGCGTGGCGAGTGAGACGTTATCTGTTCCGAAAAATAAGACGCGGTAAGGTGGCGAACCGGGTGTTGCCTGCGAAAAGTGGCGGTGTCCGAATGACGCGATGACGCTAGTAGTGAGGCGCCGAATCATTTTAATACAATTTTGAAGTCTGAGGTTACTATTTAGTAAAGTCGCACCTTATCGGCCTCGTCATTGGACGATGAGCTGAACATATGATGTTCTATCCTTACAGTCAATTTTCTCAGTCGTCAAACTTATCGGAACAAAAATGAGCGCAGACAACCCGCATCAAAAGTCTGCTCCAAATTCTGTACCAGCAATTACTGCGCAAGTCCCGACGTCAAGTGTGGCAACGGCAAGTCATTTAAACAAGCAGGATGACATGCGTATATCAGATGTTCCGTATGCAGCAGCACAGCCGACGCCTGCTGCGTTGATGAAGACAGAACCGATAAAGGTGTCATCTACACTTCCGCCCATCGCGGCGGCGCAACCACTGGCTAGCTTCAACCAGAACCAGTTCCATTCGCTTGATGGGAGCAGCGATTCAAGCAGTCCACACATATATCAAAGCGGTCTCAATAACACAAATACGAACCACGTTGTAATGGTTACGAGCGTGGACCCGGTTGGGTCTGCTGGCGATACTGAAACTGACAGCAGGCATTTCACATACTTGCATAAGTGTCAATTGATGGCGAGCTGCTTGTTGGTGTTTTATGCCGCGACTTTTTTGTTCCTGCAACCTTTTTTACTAGGCGCGTTGGGACTACTAACAAGCATTTTGGGTTTTTGCGGCTCGCGGGCGCCTATCGATGCGACGCGATTCAAGTGGCTTTGCTATTATTTATGGGCAAACTATGTCATGCTGATTCTCAACATGTGGCTGCTAATTGTGACGCTCGTCTTCTCTGGGGGTGTTTTCAGTAGTGACTCTTGGGATTATTCTACCAGCACTGGGCTCTACGTGGGGCTTTTAGTGGCGGTTAACACACTGATGCATCTGCGCTGTCTGCGAAGTGTGCAGCTCTTGGTTGCCGAGCTCAAAAATGCCGGAATCGATCGGCCTGCTCCCGTCGTGATGCTTGCGACCGCCAATCCCACTTTAGCCGTATAGTACTATGGATTTGTAGCTTCATTAATTCAATTCATTTTTAGCCAATCTGTAGGTGTAGCTGTTTTATGAACAATTCCACAGTAATTTTTCATTAACCTCCGCGTGGCAATGTACTCAATCTGGACTCGTGCTAACGCCGCGTTCTTCTCGTCGTTGACGGCACTGGCAGTGATGTGTGCGCTCACCACTTTAAGCACGTTTCTGCACGAGGAATCACCGGTTGTCAAACGCTTAGAGATGACTGAATTGCATTCGCTGCGCAATTACCGCGATAAAACGGACCGGGCCACACTCTCGTTCGACCTTGATGCTGGTGCGATTGATAGCGCTGGTAGATTATTGACTAACTAGCTGATGTGTTAATATGTCTTCAGACTTAAGTTCTGTGTTTAATTGGAATGTAAAGCAGCTTTTTGTGTACGTGGTGGCTGACTTCAAGAGTGCCAGCAATGCTCGCAACCAGGTTGTAATATGGGACAAGATCGTACAAACAAAGGAGGCCGCCAGTTTGCTTAAATATGAAAATGAGGGGGTCAAATACTTTCTTGCTGATCAGTACGATGAGCTACGCGGTGCCAACGTTACACTTAGCCTTGAGTGGGACATCATGCCGGTGTGTGGCCGTCTTTTTATACACTCGAGCAACACCAAAGCCATTTTCACGCTTCCAGACACATACCAAGGCAAAGCACCCAAAACTGGCGGACGATTTTAGAAATCAGACAAGTAATGCACGAAACATCGACCGCTTATCGTTTCTTACTAGCCTTTATCTCCGTCTTGGTTAATATGAGAAATTGTGTGTTCACTTCATATGCTGTCTAATTCTAAGTATATTGTTTTGTATTTTATCTATTTTCGAAGCGAGCACGAAGAGCTGCAACGCCTGATAGTGTCGTCATTTCTTTTTTTTGCCGTGTAGATGACTCTTTTGGAGCATCTGACGTAGATCCAGTAGCATCACTTTGTGCGCGTGTTAGTGATACAAAATCAATACTACCACTAGAGTTTTGCTTGCGTTTTTGTTTCATGCGGGCAGCAATAGTCATGATCTGGTTCATGCCATTAGCAGGATTAGCAGCAGAGCGACTGTTGTTTAGCTCCTGTTCCTTTTCAGCTCTCAGTATAGAGGTATCAATACTTGCAACCGATCGTGCCTTGAGTAGTTTTCTGTGTTTTCTCCGCTCCAACTTGGCACTTTCATTTTCATCTAGAGTAGTCGTGTATTTACTTCGGTGCACACTTTTGTGCATACGTGGTATATCTTCTATCTCCCCACGAGCTGCCAGAAGTACATTATCTGTCGAGCGATGACGTAGCAAAAGGGACACTGAAGACGAAGGTGGTGGTGGTCCAGGAGGTAGTGGTGGAGTTTTATGTTCGGACTTTGCCAGAAGTACTGGTGAACTGACTGCTGAAATTGCCTCGACCTCGTTTATTCGAAGACTCAAAGGGAGACTGCGCGCCAATCGTAACTGATCGTTAAATTTGCGAGCATTCTTGCGACGCTTCATCAACTTGTCTTTGTCCCTTTCCTTATCTTTGTGTTTGTCACCGGATTCGGATGAGTCATCATCCAGCCCTAACATCGAAGGCATCGGCTCGTCACCTACGGATGAACTTAATGTGGATGATGAAGTACCAAACAATTTTTCCCAAGGCTCATCACCATTTTCCACAACTTCTGTAGATGCAACCGCCTTTGTTTCCTCTATATCGCGCACACTGCCAATATACGAGGCCGTTATTGAACCTTCTACCACAGTCGTTGCATTCGATGCACTCGACTCCCTGCGTTTACGACCAAATTTATTCACATTTACATCAAAGTTGCCACTATCAAATCCATGTTCATTTCTAAATGAGGACCAGTCTGGTATAGTGAACGACGTGAATCGCACATCAGCTATTCGGGCACTAGGAACTCGACTGCCTCCACAATCAGAAAGCCCACCATCACGCTCAAAGAAACGCTGCCTTGCATTGCCCTCCACCACCATAGGTTCTTCTCCTTTTTCCTCATATTCATCTTCTTGCCAGTGTTCCAATGCCATATCTTTTACTGATGAAACCAAACTAATGCGCTGCTCTTCGCCTAGTTCGTAGGCGAAACACACGTTGCGAGCATATTGAAGGAGTTGTCGCCGAGTATATCCAAAGCTCGAAAGATGATATAGATATGCCAAAGCTTGTCCATAAACGACATTGTGCACTTCAAAAACCTTTTGTGCACGTTCAGGATCTGTCAGGAAATACCATGGTGTATCGGTTGAAGTCTTGCTGAGTTCCTCTGCCACACTCTTTAATAGAGCATCTACCCAATAAATTGCCACACGCCAAGCTGAATGATCTTTTAACATCACATGAAGATATTCCTGTCCGTCTTTGCTGGTTTTCCGATAAAAAGTCTGCAGCATGTTCATCAGATGCATGGTAGACCGAGTGTCACGCTGGACAACACAAGCATCAAGTAGCAAGCGCAACGCAATTGCAAGTCTAGAAAATCCTTCGCGGGACAACTCGCGATCGTGTCTTCGTTGTAGCATCAAACACTCCAGTATGATACGACGAACAACGCCGAGTCGATACATTGCCTGTGTCACAGAAGCTGAAGCATCCGTAAACTTGCTGCGATGTTTTGACGAGGAAAACTGAAGTGTATCAGACGGAAGAAGACTAGCTTCAGGTTCAATAAAGCAACTTGATATAAAATCCTTGATGATGTCAACATCTTTTTCGGATAAGCCTGCCGCTCTAACCTTTGCAAGATCCTCTGGCGAAGATGCGAGTGACAAGAAATTGGCTGGTTCTGCCGCATGCCGTACCTGCTGTTCAAAGCGCCACGTTACGCGATGCCACTCCATCAAACCCAATGCTTTTGCCTGCCGATGTGTCAATTCGGGTGCCATACTATCGGCAATATATTGTTGGACCACTGAGTTTCGGTCCAATGCCTTAAGTGTTCGCTGAAGGTCCGCCATTGCTTCAATTTCTGCTTGTAAAATGGCCACTTTTGTCTCGACAAATTGTCCAATTACAATTACTAATGTATCCAATCGATCTTCTTCCACACTTTGCGATAAACCGGCCGCTTCTTCCACAATTTCATCCCGTCGAGCTATTGCATTTATCAATGTGGTTCTCACGTCGTCGTACTCAACGCCAGCTGCTTCATCCTCACCAAAAGCATTCGTATAACGAGATTGTGCCATCTGGAAAGCACGTTTGACTTCCGGATTATTCGGTTGAACTTGATACGTTGCTTCATTCGCAGCTAGTACAGTTTTCCAATGCGCCAGTTCATCTGCTGCACGAGCCACTCGTTGTCGTGCCTTATCCATTTTCTTCTCTGCACCCTGCACGTCAGACACACAGCGCTGCACTAGGCTGTTAATGTCACGTGCCCATCGTTTGGACTTGCCGGCGTTTTCAAGTGGTTTGGTCATATCCATGTACGCCTTGCTCGCTGCTAAGTGTTTCGTGCCCAGTACCTGATTGTAGGTTCGCATTTGAGCAAAAAAGTCTTGAAAACAAGATTGTGCTACCTCTTGCGGCTGAAGCGCGGGCAGACAAGCATCACTTAAGTGTGTCTGTGCAACCATGTGCTGTGTAGAAGACGCTGCTCTTAGATACTTGCGGAGCTGCTTACGAACCTTCACACCACTTTCAACACGATCGCTGGCACGAACAAAAGGAACTTGACGAAAGGAAGGCGCACCTGAGCCTCCATCGTGTGGAGTCGGACGCTCACCAAGCATATAAGGTGGCGTAGGAAGCAATGTAGTCATAACAATACTGTATTTGGAGGTAACAACAAGGCTGTGAGAGATTGAACAAACGGCGGTGCCAAGGAGAGTCTTGCTAAATTACTCCTTGAAATTGAAAGATGAGAGTGGCGTGGGGGCTGTGTCGACGACGGTCGGTGTCGTCGATAGGAAACGATAGATTATCGTATGTACAGTGCAGAAATTGGACGCGACCTTACACAAAACCAAATTTACCTTCCGTAATTTACCACCAAAAACAAATCTTAATTACACTCGTCTCGACCGACAACATTTAACCTATACACTTGTAGAACTTGTGAGCCCCGTTTCTGACAAAGTTGCCACAAGGCTACATAATATGCTTGGGCATAAATATAAGCTGCGTAGCTATTAATTCAGCGATTCCACGGTTCTGGTCGAAGAGGATGCGAAAGAAAAGAACGTAGTGCGCACGTTCACTTTGATTTCGAAATGGAGTGCATGTATCCGACATCAGTATAAAGTTAAAAAAATCTTAGAGTGTGAAAGTGGATACCAAGTAATTGAAACAATTATCTCGAAAGAGTCTTAGTAACAATGATGATGAGAAAACTAAACATTTATCGAAACAGCCACAAAGCCATCACTCGCTACCAAATTGAGCATTTACAAAAACTCTTGAAGGTCTACAATGACTTTAAGTAGCCCTGACACTATTTTTTTCACTACAGCAGATCCAGCGTCGACAACAGTCTACATAAGGTCTTAAACATGCAGTATAGCAATAAGGCAGGGTTCAACGACGTATTCGACTTTAACAACTTTACTGCAAGCGCGTGCAACAGCACGATACGAGTCGGACACTAAATAATCTTATGCCCTACTTTCTTATACAGACGGTACAAATCTGTTTCCTCTGCTTCATTTTGGCTCCGCTGATCTGACCAGCATATTGCCCGAGCAGACTTGTTGACTCCGGAGTTGCTAAATTTCAATTTTACTATAGCGGAAATTTTTGTAGCAGTACATGTGCATTTACTTCTGATTTTCGTCATTTCTATTGGTGAACAGGAGCAGTTTCTGGAATTGAGTCGCTTTTCGGGGTACCTCAGTCACGACACCGTTTTTACTCGCTTGTTGTGTATGCTGCGTAAGAACGCATCTTCTTTGAATGAGAAGAGTCTCCTGCATGCGAAAAATTAAGCGCATTCAATGAGCTGTGTCGTTTAAACTTAAATTCGAAAGACAATTAGCCACAACATGATGTGTACAATGACCGTCTTGGAAACTTCATTTACTTTAAACTTCATGCGCTTTCGAACTTTGCGCGAAATATGTTGCTCTTACGTATCGCGTTGGGTACAAGCAAGTATGGCCAGTTGCAATCGTGGCACGAATCAGCACTTTTTGATTCAGTCAAGTAGAGGCCATCTGATCATTTAATGTGCATTACCTTAATTTACATATTACGGCCTTGACTAATTTAATAAAAATTTTAGAGCCCGCCGATCGAATCATGTGCTGCTAACTTGAAGTTATAAGTTAAAGTTTTTTACCATTATGTCGTCTATGAGAAGTGCATTGAACACGCATGTTGAATTATGTCATATTACCGAAAATTGACGCGAGGTTGCAATTTGTTGCTCAGAATAAAATGCAGCATTTAGTACAATGACGTAACAAAAAGTCGCCTTTGGCATTTCCCAATGTTAGTGATGTTTCTGAAGCTTGAATGAAGACTTAAAGAAGTTTCTTGAAGTCAAAAAAAAATCACAACGCAAACCAACGTATTCAACATACTTAATGGTGAGTCGATAAAGACTAGTCAAAGAAAATATAATCAAACTTGCTTCTTGTAGAAATTCTTTACTCTGAAGCACCAAATTTATAGCAGCGCTAAATGTCCTCATTACCTTCATTGCAACCTTTCGTTTATATTTCAAACATACATACAGATGACACCAGGAAACACAACTTGTTCAGCACAGCACCGCCGACTTGCATATAAAAATCTCGCAATTCATTCATCGCGACCAACACATTGTGGTTGTCTGTCGTCAAGAACATGGAAGATTGCATGAACAAGATAACAACTATCACATATTGGTTCTCTGTTGGCCCATTTCAGTGTTGTGATGAATCACACAAAGTAGCACGACACATCCGCATTAAGAATTCACAATTTTAGCTTGGAACAATAAAAGATCATATGTCTCGACCGATGACTGCGTTGCTTGGACAATAGAGGTTTACTTCAATACTTTGATTCGGATGGAAACATTCGATATAGCCATTCCAAATCATGAGCTGGATCCA